GAAAGAATGAAAGAAAGAAAGTAGCAAAGAAAAAGAACGAAAGAAAAAGAACGAAAAAAGAAAGAAGGAAATCGAAAGAGAAAGAAAGAAAGAAAGTATGAGAATAGAAGAAAAAGAAAGAAAGAATGAAAGAAAGAAAGTATCAAAGAAAAAGAACGAACGAAAAAGAAAGAAAAAAAAAAAAAAAAAAGGAAAAGAAGAAAGATAAAGAAAGAAAGAAGGATGAGAATAGAAGAAAAAAAACTGGAAAGAAAAGAAAGTATCAAGGAAAAAGATAGAAAGAAAAAGAAAAGAAAAGAAAGAAGGAAAATATAAAGTAGAAAGAAAGATAGATTTTGAGTGAGAATGAAAAAAAAAAGAAAAGAATGAAAGAAAGAAGATTAAAAAGAAAAAGAACGAACAAAAAAGAAAGAAAAGAAATTGAATAGAAAGAAAGATAGATAAAAAATAGAAAAACAAAAAAATTTTGAATAACATTTAACGAAGATCGATTTCGCGAAGAAACGATTGAGGACATCAGGGTAAAAAATTTGAAACTGAAAAAACAAAAAAAAGATGTCCTAATTATGACCAATATCAATCGATAAATTTACAATGTGAACGGAGAAAGATAGAAAATCGGACGATCGAATCAAGCTAAAGGATTAACCATTAGAATGATAGTGATGATTCATATATATAAATATGGAGGAAGAATAAATACGATATAAAATAAAGCAGCAATTATGTTGATATATTAATTTTCGATAGATATATCCTCTTCAATGCGAATAAATAAAAGAAATGAAAAAACACCTAAAAAATTGAGATAGATAGAAAGATAGATATTGATAGATAGATAGATAGATTAGATATATAGAAATAAAGATTGAGATAGAAGAAGAAGAAGATACTGAGATAGATAGATAGATAGATAGATAGATAGATAGATAGATAGATAGATAGATAGATATAAAAAATAGATAGGAATAGTAAATAAGAGACTGAGATAGATATATATATAGAAGAGATAGATAGATAGAAAAAGATAGATAGATAGATATAAATTTAGAGATAGATAGATATGGAAGAGACAATGATTAGATAGATATATAGATAGAAAGATAGATAGATAGATATAGATAGATAGATATAAAGACTGAGATAAATAGATATTATATATTAGAGAATAAGAGATAGATAGATAGATAGATAGATAGATAGATAGATAGATAGATATAAAGACTGGAGATAGATTATATGAAGAGACTGAGATAGATAGATAGATAGATAGATAGATAGATAGATAGATATATAAATAGATAGATAGATAGAAAAATAATAGATAGAATGATAGAAAGATAGATAGATAGAGATAGATAGAATTTAATATATAGATAGATAGATAGATAGATAGATAGATAGATATAGAGATATTAGATATAGATAGTCTTTTATAAAAGAGACTGAGATAGATAAAAATAGACTGAGATAGATAGATAGATATATATAGATATAGATAGATAATAAACAGAAAATAAATAGAAGGATATATATATATTATATATATATATATATATATAGATAGATAGATAGATAGATAGATATATAAAGATATAGATAGATAAATGTTTATAATGAGATAGATAGATAGATAGAAATGAATAGAATAGATAATAGATAAACGGCCTGTAATGTTCAATGAACAAAAACTGGATATATATATATATATATATATATATATATATATATATATATATATATATATATATGATATATATAAAAGAGAGAGCTGAAGAGATATAGATAGATAGATAGATAGATATTTATAGATAGATAGATGAAATAAAATAGAAAAGAAAATGAGACAGACAGATAGAGAGATGGATAGAATAGACAAAAGAATAAAGGCATAGATAGATAGATAGATAGATAGATAGATAGAATAAAATTCATTGGGAAAAAAATAAAGAAATTGCTGGAAAAATATTTCAAAATTATTAAAATAAATTAATTTTTTTTTTCAGATTTTGAATACATTTGAAAAATAGTTAAATTCCCTAATATATTTATAAATAAATATATACACCTCAAAAAAACGTTTTAAATAAATATATATTATAAATAAAATATCGTCTAAAAAATGATAAAGATATTTGGATGAAATATTCAACTAAAATATATCTGTATTTTATAGATTCGGTTTTATTAAATTTTAAAAATTTATTTTTATATAAAATATATATATATATATATATATATATATATATATATATATATATATATATATATATATATATATAAAATAATCGATATCTCCTGTCGCGTTCAAATTATATATAGGTTAAAATGAATTCTGGCGTATTTCTGCCAACATCCCGAGTAATAAATATGATTTTATTATAGCCCTTGAATGAATTTTTATGCAGGAAATATGAATATATGTACACAATTTTAAGAAGTTCATTATGATACAGAAACCTGGTGCAAGAGAATGCAAAAAAAAGGTTTCAAATTGCTAATACCAAAAGAAATTATAATGCAGGTTTTGAATTCAGAGTTGTCCTTCTCCTAGACCAGTAAATATAGATATATGCCAATACTATAGAATATAATCCAGTATGTGAATGAATATTTTATATATACAGATTATATAGGGAGATAAAAAAAGGCAAAAATGTATATAATTATATATAAAATAAAAAAATGCTTGATTGAGGAATATTTTGAAGAGCCGAGTTCGGAAATTCCAGTCAAATATATATAAATATATTTATATATACGTCAATATATATAAAATTTGGACAATATAATATAAATATATATATATATTATATATAAAGAAATATAAAGATAATCAACCCAAATAAACACAAATTAAAAACTGTTTCTAAAAAAATAATAGTTAGAATAAACTACAACAATCAATCCCCCAAAAATGAACAAATAGCTTTAAAAAGAAATTCTCAAACAAAAAACAAAAACTATTATATAAGTGATATAAACAAATTTTACTACGTTAATATAAAACACAAAGTTTAAAAAAATAAATAAATAAGAAGATAAATAAATAAATAAATAAAATAAGAAAAACAATAAAAATTAAATAAAACAGTGCAAACTAATTTAACCCAAATAAATAAATAAACGACTTCCGGAAAATAACCGCCATAATAGAAACAATACACCACTGATGGCAGTGAATATATATATAAAAACAGATGAAGAAAAATAACAGAAACAAAGCGTGGCCTGACGATCAATCATATAGCATCAAACAGACTGTCGCCTCTTTCTGTTGATTTCTATGTTCACTTTTTATATTTACACATCGCTCTATCTATGATATTGAGCACTTTATCCTCAGATGAAATATATAAGATACCTTAAAACTATATTTCTTCATATATATATGTGGAGTGCTGGAAAATGTGTATTTCCTGAGAAAAATATTTTTAAAAACTTTATGCTGGGTTCCTCAATTCAAAACAAGGAGAAAACTCAGTGAATGATGGATATATGTCCAAAAAGAAGACTTGAAGGAAGAGAAATTATCCAAGATACAATCTGAACTGCTACGAATTTTATAAACATTGGGACAGAATTGACAATTTCACAAAAGAAAGACTAAAAAGCAAGAGAATCTGTTAAATATCAAAACGGCTATCGTTGTAACTCAGCTCAGTAACTCATGACAAATGCTCACAAATGAAGAGGAGACGCTTGCAAGAGAAACAAAGAACGAGTGCTGAACTGCTGTCAGAACTATTCAAGTGAATGCTCCTTCACAGATGAAATGGAGACTTGAAGCAAGAGAGAATCAGAGAAAAGAGTGCTGAACTGCTATGTAATATCAATCCTCCTATATGGAAGTGAATGCTGGACAATTTCCTCACAGATAAAGAGGAGACTTGAAGCAAGAGAAACAAAGAAAAGACTGATGAACTACTATGTAATATCAATCCTCCTATATGTCAGTGAATGCTGGACAATTTCCTCACAGATGAAGAGGAGACTTGAAGCAAGAGAAACAAAGAAAAGAGTGCTGAACTGTTATGTAATATCAATCCTCCTATATGGCAGTGAATGCTGGACAATTTCCTCACAGATGAAGAGGAGACTTGAAGCAAGAGAAACAAAGAAAAGAGTGATGAACTGCTATGTAATATCAATCCTCCTATATGGCAGTGAATGCTGGACAATTTCCTCACAGATGAAGAGGAGACTTGAAGCAAGAGAAACAAAGAAAAGAGTGCTGAACTGCTATGTAATATCAATCCTCCTATATGGCAGTGAATGCTGGACAATTTCCTCACAGATAAAGAGGACACTTGAAGCAAGAGAAACAAAGAAAAGAGTGCTGAACTGCTATGTAATATCAATCCTCCTATATGGCAGTGAATGCTGGACAATTTCCTCACAGATGAAGAGGAGACTTGAAGCAAGAGAAACAAAGAAAAGAGTGCTGAACTGTTATGTAATATCAATCCTCCTATATGGCAGTGAATGCTGGACAATTTTCTCACAGATGAAGAGGACACTTGAAGCAAGAGAAACAAAGAAAAGAGTGCTGAACTGCTATGTAATATCAATCCTCCTATATGGCAGTGAATGCTGGACAATTTCCTCACAGATGAAGAGGAGACTTGAAGCAAGAGAAACAAAGAAAAGAGTGCTGAACTGCTATGTAATATCAATCCTCCTATATGGCAGTGAATGCTGGACAATTTCCTCACAGATGAAGAGGAGACTTGAAGCAAGAGAAACAAAGAAAAGAGTGCTGAACTGCTATGTAATATCAATCCTCCTATATGGCAGTGAATGCTGGACAATTTCCTCACAGAAGAAGAGGAGACTTGAAGCAAGAGAAACAAAGAAAAGAGAGCTGAACTGCTATGTAATATCAATCCTCCTATATGACAGTGAATGCTGGACAATTTCCTCACAGATGAAGAGGAGACTTGAAGCAAGAGAAACAAAGAAAAGAGTGCTGAACTGCTATGTAATATCAATCCTCCTATATGGCAGTAAATGCTGGACAATTTCCTCACAGAGGGAAGAGGAGACTTGAAGCAAGAGAAACAAAGAAAAGAGTGCTGAACTGCTATGTAATATCAATCCTCCTATATGGCAGTGAATGCTGGACAATTTCCTCACAGATGAAGAGGAGACTTGAAGCAAGAGAAACAAAGAAAAGAGTGCTGAACTGCTATGTAATATCAATCCTCCTATATGGCAGTGAATGCTGGACAATTTCCTCACAGATGAAGAGGAGACTTGAAGCAAGAGAAACAAAGAAAAGAGTGCTGAACTGCTATGTAATATCAATCCTCCTATATGGCAGTGAATGCTGGACAATTTCCTCACAGATGAAGAGGAGACTTGAAACAAGAGAAACAAAGAAAAGAGTGCTGAACTGCTATGTAATATCAATCCTCCTATATGGCAGTGAATGCTGGACAATTTCCTCACAGATGAAGAGGAGACTTGAAGCAAGAGAAACAAATAAAAAAGAGTGCTGAACTGCTATGTAATATCAATCCTCCTATATGGCAGTGAATGCTGGACAATTTCCTCACAGATGAAGAGGAGACTTGAAACAAGAGAAACAAAGAAAAGAGTGCTGAACTGCTATGTAATATCAATCCTCCTATATGGCAGTGAATGCTGGACAATTTCCTCACAGATGAAGAGGAGACTTGAAACAAGAGAAACAAAAGAAAAGAGTGCTGAACTGCTATGTAATATCAATCCTCCTATATGGCAGTGAATGCTGGACAATTTCCTCACAGATGAAGAGGAGACTTGAAACAAGAGAAACAAAGAAAAGAGTGCTGAACTGCTATGTAATATCAATCCTCCTATATGGCAGTGAATGCTGGACAATTTCCTCACAGATGAAGAGGAGACTTGAAACAAGAGAAACAAAGAAAAGAGTTCTGAACTGCTATGTAATATCAATCCTCCTATATGGCAGTGAATGCTGGACAATTTCCTCACAGATGAAGAGGAGACTTGAAACAAGAGAAACAAAGAAAAGAGTGCTGAACTGCTATGTAATATCAATCCTCCTATATGGCAGTGAATGCTGGACAATTTCCTCACAGATGAAGAGGAGACTTGAAACAAGAGAAACAAAGAAAAGAGTGCTGAACTGCTATGTAATATCAATCCTCCTATATGGCAGTGAATGCTGGACAATTTCCTCACAGATGAAGAGGAGACTTGAAACAAGAGAAACAAAGAAAAGAGTGCTGAACTGCTATGTAATATCAATCCTCCTATATGGCAGTGAATGCTGGACAATTTCCTCACAGATGAAGAGGAGACTTGAAACAAGAGAAACAAAGAAAAGAGTGCTGAACTGCTATGTAATATCAATCCTCCTATATGGCAGTGAATGCTGGACAATTTCCTCACAGATGAAGAGGAGACTTGAAACAAGAGAAACAAAGAAAAGAGTGCTGAACTGCTATGTAATATCAATCCTCCTATATGGCAGTGAATGCTGGACAATTTCCTCACAGATGAAGAGGAGACTTGAAACAAGAGAAACAAAGAAAAGAGTGCTGAACTGCTATGTAATATCAATCCTCCTATATGGCAGTGAATGCTGGACAATTTCCTCACAGATGAAGAGGAGACTTGAAGCAAGAGAAACAAAGAAAAGAGTTCTGAACTGCTATGTAATATCAATCCTCCTATATGGCAGTGAATGCTGGACAATTTCCTCACAGATGAAGAGGAGACTTGAAGCAAGAGAAACAAAGAAAAGAGTGCTGAACTGCTATGTAATATCAATCCTCCTATATGGCAGTGAATGCTGGACAATTTCCTCACAGATGAAGAGGAGACTTGAAGCAAGAGAAACAAAGAAAAGAGTGCTGAACTGCTATGTAATATCAATCCTCCTATATGGCAGTGAATGCTGGACAATTTCCTCACAGATGAAGAGGAGACTTGAAGCAAGAGAAACAAAAAAGAAAAGTGTGCTGAACTGCTTATGTAATATCAATCCTCCTATATGGCAGTGAATGCTGGATAATTTCCTCACAGATGAAGAAGGAGACTTGAAGCAAGAGAAACAAAGAAGGAAAGAACTGCTATGTAATATCACTGAAACAATTTCTTCATTAATGAAGAATCAATCCTCATTATATGGCAGTGAAAAAGATACTAAGAATAAGAGGACGGGACAGAAAAGAGGAGAACTTGAAGCAAGAATAAATTGAAACAAAGAAAAAAATTTATTGCTGAACTGCTATGTAATATCAATCCTCCTATATGGCAGTGAATGCTAAACAATTTATTCACAGATGAAGAGGATCTCAATGGACAAAGTTGAAATATACAGAAACAATATATATATATATAATATAAATATATATATCAGGAATTAATCTTAATCTGATTAAAACATTTGAAGATTACAAAACATGGATATATATACGCTATTTATAAATATAACACATTTTTATGAATAAACTTGAATTTCGAAAAGATGAACCCTAAACTTTATCTAGTTGAATATCGAAAGAGAAACATTTTAACCACCGAGCAGGCAGATAATAATAGATTGATAAAAAGGCAATATAAACAAGAAAAATAATTATAAAATATTTGCAAAAATTGAATGTCAACCAAGAAAAAATATGAAAGGAAAAGAGGCAACAAAAAAGGAATAAAAAGAAAGGAAAAAGAAAAAAATAAATTAATAACCAAAAGAAGAAGAAATAAAAAAAAAACGTAATCGAATGAAAGAAATAAAAGAATCCCGAAATGTTTACCAGTCTTTTTGAAGCACCATTGAGTTGTAACGTTTCCGGTCGGCAATTTAGTGTCTGATTTGAAGACATTTGGTTAATTATTTCACGTGGAGTGACGTGACTTGGCCATGAGCGAATTTAACCGGGTGATCTTTCAACCGTGACAAAACAGTGTCTCAATTTGCAGTTTTAGAATTTGTTAAATTTTTTAAAGCTTTTTGAATGTGATGCATTTCTACAGTAAACAATTTCAAATAAATTCTGGGAGTGAATCTTTTTTCACATCGAAGATTGAAAATTCTGTTTATTTCTGTTGTCTCTGTCAATACAAATGCATTCTTAGGAATTCGTTTGTGTTTTCAAACATTTTCTATTTAGTGAGAGAATATATTGCATCTATTTAAATCATTTTTTTATTGAAGTCTTATTTAAATTTGTTTTCATATATTCTTTAACGTAAAATGAAAGGTCATTAAATAAATAAAAAAAAGTAGATCCATAAACATATTTTTTAAAAACGAGACTTTCTGTAGTTCAGAAAACAGAACTTGACTCAAAACATCATTAAAAATTAGACTACACAATATTATTTCCTTCCCCGAAATGCATATAGCCTAGTGGCTTGCTTAAAACAACCTAGTTCTCTAATTACTCATTCAAGGTTCAAATAAATTATGTAAAAGATAATGAGAACATGCATATGCTCTGTTACATACCATTTTATTGATCTTTACAATATTTGGTACATATCATGCCAGAATCAATGCATTTTGGCTCTTAAAAAAAATGTCCGGTACACCCCAAGAGGGAAATATAAATTTTAGGCAATCTTAAATAAGGTTATTAATGAATTTAATATTTTCTTTGAACGTAGAGTTCTTTTCTTTTTTAAATTTCTTTCAGTACCGTTGGATGGGAAAAATCGATAAAAATTTTAAAATCTAGGCCTGCTTTTTCAATTTTAGGAAGACGGTTTCTCTTGTTATCAAATTCATTTGCACAGTTGGAAAAAGAAAACGGGGCTTATCGCCTCTCTGGGCCGATAAAAGCGGTCAAAAATAATAAAAAAAAATTTCTAAAAGAAGACTATCGGAAATAAGAGGGAATGAATAAGCATTAAACAATTCATTTTTGTGCATCATAGAAAAGGTGGTTCTTTAAAGAAGGAGAATGAAAAGTTCCATGGACAAAGTGGGAAAGCACCAAAGAAGTCTTAAAAATGGCAACAGAAAGGAAGAAAGAAAGAAATCAGAAAAAAGACAACTGAAATTCCTTGAACATATAATGAAGAAGAAAGTATTTGGAGACAAGAAAGAAAGAATGAAAAAAAAGAGTCATTTATCTGATGAACCTGTTTGAAAGAAAGGGGAAGAGGAAGAAGCAAAGAAATAGAATAATTGCTAAGAAAGAACTAGAAAAAGGAAGTTGGGAAGGGCCATAAAAGAAAAAATGACGAAACAGATAAAAAGATTATTTAAATTTATCCTTTATCTGACCTTTTTAATACTAAATAAAAAGAACTAAAATATATCCTCCATAACATATTGATCGACGCCTGTCCGAATGAATAGAACGTCAGTATCCCGTCTATGAAACACGGATTCAAAAGAACTATAAAAATTAGTTAAGGAGATAAGAAGAAGATAATATGGTCCTTGGGTGAAAGAAGCCTCGTGGATGACAACGTTGGGATGAAACATGAAAAACCATAAAGTTGACCCAAGAAAGAAAGAATGAAAAAGAAGAAGTGGAACAGTTGAATGCTTGTGTTAGTTACAAGTTATCATGACCTTTTGTTTATGCAATTTATAAGGCAATGGAAACTACTTATCAGACAAGATTACTTCAAGAAAATCGCCGTAAGGTTCACTCGGCATAAACGACAGGAAATCCAATGCAAGGATTAGCCACCACACTAGTAGATTTTCAATAATCCCTGAATTAACGGAAATTTACTAGACTTGCACGTATGTCAATGGCCTGATATCCACTTGAATTTTGTTTTAGTCCTTAAACAAATTTTAAAAGAAAAAATTGTGAGAAAACAAATTGTTATATAATGTAAAGATGAACTTGATTAGGCTATGGTGTTGAAACAAAACGTGGTTTCGATTTTTGATATTCTAAATTCAGTTTCAATTTCTGTCTAAATTTCTGTAAAATTGTAACTGTTTACACTATTTAAATCGTTCAATTGTTGCCATATTCACGACGTTTGCCCGTTGTATTCCGACATTCTTCAGGTGATATACATTGGAATTTCGATTCGAATTCTTTATTTAGTCCATACCATAGACCTATTCTATTTCCACGTGACACGCCTTTTGGATATCGCATTTTCAGTTAATTCCTTTAGTATCAGTGGTTTTTTGCGAGTCTGTCGATATCGGCCATTGTATTGAACATCACAACATTTTGGGTCTTGTAACTTTTCGCATTTCAACCAACGTTTTTATCCTCTTGGTAACGAAGTTTACTGACCGCGGCAAATAACTTTATTCTGAAAAAAGAAGGACGCTATTTATAGTTTATGATAAAATCAGTTTATATTTCATGGAAAGTTTTTTTTTTATTATCTGGACTTCTTGGATCATGGCTCTGAACAATTTCTTTTTTTTAACTCTTATCAAATTTTGCAGAAGAATTTTTTCTCTTTTGAGAAAATGGTTTAATGATCAAGTCTTCTATTTACCCAAATAGCTGGTAGATTAAGTTGTTTTCCTCTTCCCCCTTTTGCCTTTTCGATAAAGAAGAAATTATTAGATTTTATAAAGCCCTCTTTCTCAATTTTATATTAGAAATCAATATTGTCTCTTCATCCCTCATTATGCGGCCATGGTCATTTTTTTTATATTTATAAAAGAAAATCGGTCCATGATATTCTCACATCCTTCTGTAGTAATCACATTTCTGTTGGTTTTAAAGTCCCTTCTTCACCTGTATGGAGATCGTCCATTTAAAGTGCCATATAGGAGGAAAATATTCTTTAGAGTTGAGAGCGGTTTTTTTTTGGATAGCAGCTGGTTAAAGGAATGTTAAAGAATTCCATTCACTTACATGCTAATAACTGTTGGAAAGGATATGGATTCTTCTTTTCCCCCAGCTATGGGTAAAAAGGACAGATTTGCTAAGAATTTTGGATAAACTGGTTTATCGAAAGAAATGGTAATGTTTACTAATTAAAAAATGCCTGGGGTCAGAATGCAAAATTCAAAGATAGATGAATTCATTAAAGAAGAAATCATAATATGGATATAACTGGGGACTCAATTTTTCTTTGTTTCTAGCGAAATTTATAAACTTGATTAATACTTTTATGATTTTGGAAGGCATTATTTTTATATCCCAATGCGTTTTCCAAATATCAATGTGTTAATTAGTTCTGTAAATATTTTTAAAAGATTTAAATTGTTGTTCACTATATTTACATTATTCGGATTATCGTCCTCATTTTTCGAACATATTTTATCATCTTTTTCGGCCATTGTACGCTCCGGCCTTCTTCAGGTGGTTGGAATTTCGAACTGAACCCTTTATTTCGCTCACTGGGTAGACTGTTCTAGTTCCACGTGCCATGTTTTGGATGGATATCAGTTATCTCCTGTTAATTCCCCTCTGAAAGTTCTCCAGATATTGAACTCACACTCTTTGGGTCCTGTCACTGGATCTAACCAACACCTTTATCCACTGTTGTGTCCTTGAGGACATCTGTGTATGAATTTCTGGTTATTATAAACCTAATGTCTTCAGCAACCAATTTTACCATTGCTCATATTGCAATTTTTTTGTTGTTATCATTCTATGTTTTTTGCAAGCTCATATTTTTTTTTGTTGTTATTATCGCTTTTCTCTGGCACTCCTTATTACTGGTTCCCATATTGTATTCATTTCTATGCTTGGTCGGCTCAGGAGATTTTTGTGGCCTAGCATATGTGCTGATTCCTTAAGTTTACGAATTTTCCAATGATGTTCTTTGTCTATGATCTCAACCTGATCCCACAGAGGGCGGTGATCTCCCTTTTCTCTCCATATGTGGTCAGCCACGCCTGATTTTTCCACTTCCCCTCGTGTTACAGCTTTCTGGTGTTCTTGAAGCCTTACCTTAAGGGGGCGGCCTGTCTCCCCTTTATATTTCTTTCCGCAGCTGCACGGGATAGCGTACACACAGTCTTTAGTCATGTTCTCTCTATGGGGGGTCTTACTCGGGAGAGATATCTGCGAAGTGTCGTCCAGCTTTTGAAGGTTGTCCTGATGTTATATGGACCGCAGATCCTTTGTATTTTTTCTGATAACCCCTTCACATAAGGCAGGCAGACTGTTTTCTGAGTGTTGTTGTCCTCCTCTTGTACCCGCCTATCCCATTTTTTTGGGGCTGTTGCCATGTACCCAGGGTAGTTGTTACGTTGTAGGGTACTACTTATACTGACCAATTCTTTATCTAATGTGTCTGGATCGCCACTTATTACTTTTGCTCGGTGCTGTAAGCAGCAGACGATCCCTTTCTTTACGCTGTATGGATGGTGGGAGTTGAAATTGAGGTACTGTCCGGTGAATGTCGGTTTACGGTATATGGATGTCTTGAACCCATTCTCTGTTCGAGATATTAGAACATCCAGGAATGGGAGTGTGTTGTTACTCTCTTTCTCCATCGTGAACTGTATCGAAGGTCTTATTGAGTTCACATGGTCGAGTAGAACCTGAATATCTTCCTGGTGTGGCCAGAGTATGAAGGTGTCATCTTCCTCTCCAGAACTATTGCATTGTGGGACAGACTCCTGAGAAGATGCTCACCAGACCATTGCAATATAGCCCGACTTCAAGCTATGAGTCAGTCTTACTCAGCTCCATAATATGCAACTCTTCCTCTGAATCTGTATGTCCTTACAACAAGCGTATTTAATATCCCTCTACTTTGAGTGGCTCTGGGGCCTTGTATTAGGTGACCAATAGTGACAAACTACTTTACTTAGTTTCGCCAGTTAAGGATCTTACAGGTTGAACCCGCTATACTACATACATTGACTTTGTATGTCCTTACAACAAGCGTTTTTAATATCCCTCTACTTTGAGTGGCTCTGCGGCCTTGTATTGGATGACCAATAGTGACAAACTACTTTACTTGGTTTCGCCAGTTCAGAACCTTACAGACTGGACCCGCTTTGCTACCTACATTGAATCGACTTCTGGTCATCTTCCTCTCCAGAACTGTTGCATTGTGGGACAGACTCCTAAGTGGATACTTCCCAGAACAGTGCAATATTACCCTCTTCAAGTTGTTAGTCACTCTTACCTAGCATCATAATCTGCACCCTCCGCGCATGTGCATACAATAATCTCATTTAATAATCCCCTATTTTTTTATTTTATTTTTTTGACCGATTGGATGACTGCGAAGTTAAAATAGACTCAACCGGAATTTGAACTCGGCTCGCCTGTTCCGTTTTCAGCACTCGAAACCAGACCCACCTCCAGTATTCATAGAAGTAAATAAATAGATGCGAGTCTAAATGCTTACATTTGCAACCGGTTGATATCCAGAATCGTCTGCTTAAAATTTCTTTTTTCGTTTTTTTTTTTTTTGTTATTTTACCTACGCCTTATAAACAGATAGGAAAAATGTCGGTCATTGCACTAATATACGAACAACCTCTCCACCTCCGGCCGGCAACCATTGTAGTTCGCTCTGAAGGCATTTTAAAAATATGCATCACTTTATTTCAGCAATTCCTCACGCTTCTCGTTACTTTCTTTCTTTAAATAGACAAAGACTCAGGCGTTGAAATGTTGGCCTATACCAACGTAAAAATGCTTGATTTTTATAAAACTCTATTTCACAAAATACAATATAGAAATATGCTTCATTACAAACGTTCTATTACAGATATTTTTATGAAAGAACTGCAAATAAAGTATATTTTTACATTATTCGGACTATTTATTTCATCTTTGTCGCCATATTTATCACATCGTTTCGGCCGTTTACGCTCCGGCCTTCTTCAGGTGGTTGCAATACATCAAAATGAACCCTTAAAAAATTTTCGATCACTGGGGTAAACTGTTTCTGGTTCCACGTGCCATGTTTGATGGATGTCAGTTATCTCTTGTTAAATAACATTGATTAAAATTCCACATTGAAGTAAAAAGGGAATTGAAAAACATTCTTTGGGTCCTGTCAAAAGATCTAAAAAACGCCTTTATCCACTAAATGAATTTCTGGTTATTATAAACCTAATGTCTTCAGCAAACCGTTTTTGGAAGTGCTCATATTGCAAGGACCCGAAGAGAAGAGTGTGAGTTCAATATCCGGTTAAGGCAGTGGAGAAATTTTAAAAAGGAAATTAACAGGTTGATACAATGATAACTGACATCAAATTCAAACCATGAAATGGTTGGAACTAGAATTTTTCTACC